GTTCTCCTTAAATATCCCATGTTACGACGTGGACACCTGCTGCTTATAGAAAAGTGCGATCTATATATGTACAATCAATGTTTTTTTTTTTTAATTTAGTGGGTGCGGCTTATATTCCGGTGCGCTCAATAGTCCGGTCATTATGGTATTTCAGTGTTAGGACTTTAACAAATGTCTGGTATTAGGACCCTGTGTTGACTGTGTCACTGAGTCTTATCCCGTACGTTTCCACTTCCACTTCCACAGCAGGAGGGGTTCTGACTATTGATGTGTCACCGCAGGATCACTTGTACATTTACACCACAGTGTTTTTGACACAGAGCACAGGAGACTATTCTACATTCTCTACATGCTGCGCATGTGGCTGTGACATACCTCCTTGAGACGGTCGGTGCTGCCCGAGGAAGCAGAGCACTGGTGGGTGCTCCTTTTCTTCCTTGATTTGTCACACCAACATCCAGGAGTCTATAAAAAGAACATCATAGGTAACCGGGTGTGGTTTTTTTTCCTAGATTTTATTCTCATGTAGTACCTGACACGTTGAGGCGAAACTTCAAAAGTTCATCTCTTTACATCTGCCATATACCCATATACTAAAATTTTATAAAGCCCGTGGGATCCATTCTTCTGTCACGGCACAGAATGACTGTATTTGTTAAAATGTGAATAGAAATATAGGCTACAAATGCAAAAACTGGGGCAGTCAAATGTTGGAATGTGATAAATGACAGCGTAGCTATGGATTACACATTGAGAAATGATCACTGATCATTGATAATCGCAATTACCGTATTTACCGGACTATAAGTCACACTGGAGTATAAGTCGCACCAGCCAGCTAGAGTGCCCTCTAGCGGCTGTCAGCGTGAAAATAATGAACATGTAAATTTTCAGTGGTACAGGAGTAGCAGATACTGGTACACAAGCCTAGAGTGCCCTCTAGCGGCTGTCAGCGTGAAAATAGAAAAAGTGAAATGATACATTTTAATATATAAGTCGCACCTGAGTATAAGTCGCAAACCTAGCCAAAGGATGAAAAAAAAAGTGCAACTTATAGGAAAATACGGTAATCATGACTAAGCTAGGTAAAATTACTTTCCTAAATGTTACAATATTATATCAGTTTTTCTGGATATTGATAGAACGGAAATGGAAAACAAAAGAAGCTTACGTATTATGTATGTGTTTTACATATTTTTTGGACTCATCCGACGATGGAAATAATATGTAAGAATATCACGAAAATGACTATTTTGTATTAAGACACATCTGACTTGAAGTTCAGATGATTTATGCGTAAATTTAGACACTGACAACAATACATATATTTTGTAATGAATAATTATAATACAAAAAAAATTCAAAATAATTCAGCCTGTTGAGAAATTGAAAAAATGACTTCTTACCTGTGTGGCTTTATCGTTCATACAAGATGGGTGCAGAACATTTGGGTCACAACACCACTGTCCAGCCAGGTAGGGCCCAGTGACACTATCCAAAAATGAAGTCAGCCAAGTGGTCACTGCACTGTATACTTGTTGTGACTTTATGTTTTCAGCTGCACAAAAAAAAAAAAAGAGAGAAGGGAACAACAACATAATGTTTTTTATTTATTTTGTGTTATTTCAGGCTTGCAAAAAAATATAACATTAGGGAAATGACAAAGAAAGTGACAATTAAAGATTTTTGATTCTTGATTCTTGAATAGAGATTCATGAATTGATTCAACAACTACTTCATTCAAACTCTCCACATTGTCTCCTCACACACTGAGGGGTGTAAAAGAAAAGATCTGCACTTGATCATTAAAGAAATATGAATTTATGTAATTGCAATGCATTGATATTAGTGAAGTTAGTACATAGTCATAGCCATAAATGCAATTTTCGGTTTCGGCCTCTGTCTCTCTCTCTCTCGCTACCATTCCCTGACTTATCTTATTTTTTATTTTGTTTTGTTTTTTTTATTGAGTGTTTGGACAGTATCGGATATCGGCAGAGACGTTAATATCGGGCATTTCTATGGGAGACACAACTCTACAGTAGTGAAGATTTGGGTGTTAATGACGAACTACCAGAAATGCTAAAGGCTTTAGATCAGGGGTCACCAACATGGTGCCCGGGGGCACCTGGTAGCCCCCATGGACTACCTAAGGTGCCCGCAGGCTATGTCCTTGGGTGCAATGACGATAATAAGAAGAGTGTCTACTATTGTATGTCCCAAAACTCCTGATTATTACATTGTTTGTGAAGTCTCTGCATCCTTTAGATGCTGACGAGTCTAGTACAGTGTCCAGGAAGTGGCAGAATTGGTCTATTACAGTTACTGGCTATGTAAGAAAAGACCAGCTTTTCACTCTGGCATTTTTTATACATAGCAGCAAAATGATTGACTCATGGCATAATTGCTAACAGGGTCCTAATTTTGCTAAATTACTTAAATGCAAACTCGCAATCTACTACATTTTCAGTTATTTATTTAGCTTAGCATGCTCTGATTAATGCTTCTTAGGGTCGTACTATGAACTGGGGCTTTTCCTGCAGTCACAGGGGATGGGGCAGGTTAGGGATACACCCTGTACTGTTTGCCAGTTTGACATACCGAAATACTGAGCTAGTAAACCATGTTAATATTTACATGTTAAGTGTATAGAGTATAATTAGTTGATTCCCTATCGGCATGTTTTTGTAATTTGTGTGCCCAAAATGTATTTTGAATTATAAACCATATCACAATATCGCAATAATTTTCATGTTATCTAAGAGAGTACCAATGATGGAAATACCCATTACAGTGCTTTCCCATAATAAATGCATTTACGTGCAGGTACACGGATGATCTCTGAGGGATCATGACGTATACTTACCTCCATTAGACAATGTTTACAGTTGTGATGACGTAGCTGTGCAACTACGAATGTTTCCAATGTGTACTATAAATGATCATTCCTCGTGCAGTGTTATTATATCGAAGCGTGCAGTTGCAGAGAATGGCCTGCTTACCCAGGGGGCTCTGTTTATGTCTCACAGAAGACAGCTAGGCCCCAGTATTGCCGTAGAAAGCCCGATGCTATCGGTTGTCGGCGATACTCCTTTCGGTTTCAAAGATGTGAAAACGTATGCAATGTTTTACTGTGCAACTTTTTCCGTGCACTGACGTTGCAAAAATCCGGCCCAGCAACCGGTTTTATGTTATCCAGAGGTCCCTGGTAATCCTTGCCATAGTGCTACATCATCACTGCACAGACATCCCTCCACATCCCTTTAGATTTCAATGAGCCAGGGTTATGACAACATAGCGTGCATATTCCATGTGTTAATAATGACTAATTAAACGCGATGTAGCGTCGTGACACGTCTGTTAAATACTAAAGTGGTATTTTATATGTTGCGATATTGTACTTCTTCTACAGTATAAATGTTATTGGAACATTGGTTGACTTATAACTATTTCACAAACATCGTTATATATTAACCTGTTCGGTTTAAAACAGGCAAGTATTAACTTTGGTGTGTTATGGTCCAATTAGAAAGCTAACCAAATAGCCTAGCATATGCACATCGCCGTTCGTGGACAGGGGTTAAATCGAAATAGCCACGGGAAACTTAACAATATTAGGTTTGCTATAAAACAGAGTAATGTTCTAGCCGTTTAGGACAATGTTGTCATAGCCTTTGGAATAATATAGATCATATTTACAATTCGGCGTACACGGTATCCACAATGCTACGTGCTTGTGTGCAGAAATCCAATGCTTACTGCTGCTTCGATTATTATTTTCACTAGATTCTCGCACCAAAACATGACGTGACGCCTAAAGGCCGACGTTGGGAAAGATAATGCATGTCAGTGTTTTTATTGAATGTAGTGGTGACAGGCGAATAATATTGAAGCCGAACTCGAGAATAGTAAGCCTTCAATTGGACATTATGATGGACCAGTGTCAAGATGCAGGCATTATTTTATAATACATTCGAGACCGCTAAATTTATAATTTTTAAAGCCAGTTACGCGTGACGATTTCGGCATTTGAGACGAGAGCTTAACACGCCAAGCTATCTACAGAAGGATGGAAAATTGAGATAACTTCCATTGACTGCATATGATGACATTACCTTCGGAAAGCGGTGGATGTTGGGAGCGTTCAGGCGAGCCGATGCCGTCCGGCGGGGGGGACCTCTGGCTGCGGGCAAGCCTG